GAGAATGTTCCCAAAAATGATTGTAAGCCTCGTGGCTGCTAATAGCGATCCGTGATCAAGTGAAGCGCCTTTGAACTGTAAGGATATCGGCGCTATATAAATAATACGTATTATTATTATTAAAATGCTTAGGTTCCCGAGATATTTTTATTTTTAACTTAAGGGGGGGATGGGCACCTTTGGAATTGACTCATACATAAAGTCATTTTTTTCATATCCGAATTATTTAATTTCCAATCACCCATGCATAACATTGGTCGTGATGATACCTGGCAGCACAAACTCCCTCTTAATTTTTTTGTTTTTGCGTTATTTGACAGGAATAGCATWCAGGACTGCAGGTAATGCGAATAGTTCAAATAGAGTTGAATGTACGGGCGTGTGCAAGGGTTTCATGTTTTGCGGTTCGAATACTGTTAAGAAAGCGATTTAGTGCAAACTTGCACGAGTATTACTTTAAGCTTTGGCTACAAGAGCGATTTTTAGCTTGCCCATGCGACGCGATTTTCTCAAAATCATCAGCGCAAGTTGTGGCTACATGAGCAACAATGCTTTATCGATAAAAAAAATCCTTACAAATACTTACATGAACTTCCATAAAGAGCTCCGAAAATCGCGTCGCCTGCGCAAGCAAAAAATCGATCGTGTAACCGCGGCTTTAGATTCACACTGAGCAAACTATTAGAATTTCCAAAAAKATATTATTCTACTGATTTGATTTCGTTTGCCAGGAAAGTCACGCTTCCGGAACCCCTGRAAACACWTCCTACACACGCGCCTGGAATGTACTTACCATTTCTTATTGCTTATATTATATTAGTCTCAGCGCTAGGGCTTTCCATTTGATTCGGTTATTGAAATGCATGTGACTAAGCTGGAAGGAAGCCAGACGTTTTCTCGAAAACCACTGAAGCGCAGTGACTGACACTTCTTTATCAGATTCCATCTTGACCAGCCGACTTGCGAATCATCTCGACTCATCTTGATTATTTTGTGTTTGACAACTGAGGCAAAATCACAAATCGGTTATTTAATAGTGTCGCTATTTGATGGTTCTTTGAAACCGCTCAAAGCGACTTGTACTGGATCGATGTATTATCACGCATGCACTGCTGAGCGCATTGATCGCACGCACAAAATGTCATATATCATTCAGCAGAGTTGCGTGAATCATATCTTTCAATTTTATATTTCAGTTGTCTGTTTAAAAACCATTACATCTACTTCCACATTTGTCAAAGTAACAGCTGTTTCTGGTGTACTTCTAACTGTACTGCACAACACACCAGAAGCATTAGAATCCATACAAAAGGTTTTACCACTGGCGATAAAACTTCTTGGAGTCAGAGAAGGATCTATTAG